ACCTCCGTGTTAAAGCCAATCATTGCAGGAGTTCCCCAAGAAAGCGTCCTTGGACCCATCCTGTACATGCTCTTCACTCGCGATACTCCTCAGCAGCTACACAGAAGATCTATGTTTTTTTTTTTTGATTGCTCCATTGAGGTTAAAATCTATCCTAGATACTATTGGACCGTACCAATAGCATGCAAGATTCACCGGCATGTCTAGCCGGCGCCTACGTACTAAAGACACCCCCGCACACACCACAGAAACTGCAGTACCACTGCAAATTATTGCTTCGCGGTGAAGGGTTGCTTAATATAGGCATTCTCCCTTAAGCGACGTTAATTTTCGAGTCAACTGGCTTACCCAGTCCCATTGCTCCTGTGAGCTGCACATAAATTTTACAATCTGCTCCGGAGCTGGTAGTGATCCAACGCTGGCACGATACCTCCTACAATTGTAAACAAGATAAGATAGCTAACTTCGGGCGGAGCCGATGTTAATATACCCTTGCAGTTAAAACCGGATATATATCGCAAACATCGGATATAGTTGGCCGATCCTTATGAGAATATCATAATAAAACCAATTACAATGAAATATCTAAAAAAAAAGTCCCAAACTTCTATCTTAAAAAATACCAAAGTTGGTATTTCTACCAAAAACCATTTCCGATCGTTCAGTTATATGGCAGCTATAAGATATAGTCGGCCGATCGTTATTTGGCATGTCGTAATGCTTTGCCAAAAAAAGCTCTCGTGTCAAATTTAAACTCTCTAACTCTAAAAACACCGAAGTTATACCATTTCCGATCAATCAGTTATATGGCAGCTATAGGATATAGTCGGCCGCTTCCGGTCGTTCCGACTTATATACTGCGTGCAAAGGAAAGAAGGGTGTGTGAACAGTTTCAAGTCGATAGCTTTAAAACTGAGAGACTAGTTTGCGTAGAAACAGACAGACAAAAGGGCATGCTCATATCAGGAGGCAATCCTGATCAAGAATATATATACTTTATAGGGTCGGAGATGTCTCCTTCACTGCGTTGCACACTTTAAGAAAAAATTTAAATACCCACTGCAAGGGTATAAAAATGTGCTCTTGGTCCTCGTATGCTCCTGGGCAGTGGAGGTATTTTCTGTACCCTCAGTGGCCAGATCTATGTGTGTAGCCACTTATGCGGAAGTCTCGGCCATTTTGACAGGACCCTGCTGAAATTTTTTAAAAAGTTTGAGAATTGGTCCTGCCGATGGAACGTTTTTATTTATCCTGAAAAGTTTGCAGTGGTGACTTACACACTTCGTATTAACTACTCCCCCGAGCTATTCCTCCACGGATAGTTAATTCCACAAGCGGTCGAGCACAAAAACCTGCACATCACCTTTGATAGGCGCCAAAGTCAGAAAAACACGACAAAAATTCAAAAATGTCAGTTTCTTGCGAAAAAATTGTATCCTCTTTGTTGAAATAAATTAAAGATATATTTTTTTTCAAAAGCTACAACATTTAACTATTAAAAAACGTCTAAAATTTTAAAATCGGTTTAAAATTACGCGCTTAGGAATTTTTAGGAGCAAAAAAGTCCCGAAAAACTGTTTTTTCTAAATAAATCAAGATTTTGAGGGTGTTAGAAAAATTTCAAACACGGTTTTATACTATACTCGACCTAATGAACAATTCCTACTAGGTCTCTTCAAAAGTTCCTTCAATTTTTCTTTTTTTTTTTGTCGCACTGTGTTATTGTTTTGTAAGCTTATGGCTCTGTCCCGTACTAGAATGAAATATTTTTATCAATAAATAACAAAATGGCGAACTCATAAAAAAAAAAATTTTTTATTTTATTTTAAATTAATGATAATTAAACAAAAAAGGAAAGCTAACTTCGGGCGGAGCCGAAGTTGATATACCCTTGCAGTTTGCGCAGGATATATATCGCAAACATCGGATATAGTTGGCCGGTCCTTATGATTACATAATACTAAAACCAATTAATTAAAATACAAAATCTAAAAAAAAGTCCCAAGCTTCTATCTTCAAAAATACGTAAGTTGATATTTCTACCAAAAACCATTTTCGATCGTTCAGTTATATGGCAGCTATAGGATTTAGTCGGCCGATCCTAATGAAATGTGGTAAATTGGATCAACTGACCAAATATAGAATCTGTACTAAATTTCAGCTTTTTATTTTCAAAAACACGAAAGTTGGGTCATTTTGGATCGTACAGTCATATGGCAGCTATAAGATATAGTCAACCGATCCGAGCCGTTCCGAATTATATACTGCGTGCAAAGGAAAGAAGGGTGTGTGCAAAGTTTAAAGACGATAGGTTTAAAACTGAGACACTAGTTCGCGTAGAAACGGACAGACAGACAGACGGACAGACGAACATGCTCATATCAACTCAGGAGGTGGTCCTGATCAAGAATATATATACTTTATAGGGTCGGAGATTCTCCTTCACTGCGTTGCACACTTTTGGACAAAATTATAATACCCTCTGCAAGGGTATAAATATCAAATAATGACAGAGAAACAGCCTCTAAACTTTAAACGCGTTTTTTTCGGAACCACATTTTTGTGTGCGGCGCAGGTGATTCACAAAATTCTATGGTACCGATCTAACTGAAATTTGAATATGTTGTTCTAAAAAGTAACACCTCTGTCCCGTACTAGAATCATTTATTTTTAATGATTAGTTTTTATATTATCATTAATTTAAGATACATTTTTTTAATTAAAAAAAAAATTTTTTTTGTGAGTTTGCCATTTTGTTTTTTATTAATGAAAATATTTCATTCTAGTACGGGACAGAGCCATAAGCTTACAAAACAATAATCTATTTAAATTTTTTGTTTCGGATGACACTAGCAGTTGAAATCACCTGCGCCAGGGACCTACCTTTTTTTTTTATATGCATACTTTGGCATGCTATAAAGTGTATTAAACTACACAAGAATAAGTTAAACAAAATATTTTCAAATAGTTTCTTATGCCTGTAAAAACATATTTGAAAATTGAAACGATTGTATTATTTTTTATTACAACAATTTTTTTTTTAAATAACCTCTAAAAGTAGGTCGGAACATAAGACTACATCCTTAAATAATCGGACATTGCCGCTGCCTGGTTAACTTCAGTTAACTTATATATATTCTTGATCAGGATCACCTCCTGAGTTGATATGAGCATGTCCGTCTGTCTGTCTGTCCGTTTCTACGCGAACTAGTCTCTCAGTTTTAAAGCTATCGTCTTTAAACTTTGCACACACCATTCTTTCCTTTGCACGCAGTATATAATTCGGAACGGCTCGGATCGGCCGACTATATCCTATAGCTGCCATATAACTGATTGACCGGAAATGGTATAACTTTAGAGTTTTTAGAGTTAGAGAGTTTAAATTTTTGGCAAAGCATTACGGCTATTTTTTGCAAAGCATTACATGCCAAATTTCATAAGGATCGGTCCGTATATCGGCTTCGCCCAAAGTTAGCTTTCCTTTCTTGTTTGAGCTTTCTGTAGCTTTTGTTTTTTCTAATCGCGCTTCAGCACCAATTTAACCGAACACATTTATTGAATCTGAAAATAAGAAAGATAAGACTGATTTGATGTAACAATCCATAATCCAATTTCATAAGGATCGGCCAACTATATCCGATATTTCTATTATATGTATATCCGGTCTTAACGGCAAGGTTAATATACCTCGGTTTTTATATTTTGGATCAAAACACTGACATTATAAAAATGAAACAAGCTAGTACTGGGTAAAAAAATGTTTATAAAATAACATAAAAAATAAAATAACATCTTAAAAAATTATTTCCTAACTCTACCTTTGACTGAACGATTTTTCATTTTCTTTTTTTTTATCGAAATGAAAAATTGATGTTCTGTGAACCAAAAGCCTTTTTTTTTTTAAATTTATTACAAAATATTAAAAGACAGTTGTTTACAGTTTTATTTTGTATTTTTATACCCTTGCAGAGGGTATTATAATTTTGTCCAAAAGTGTGCAACGCAGTGAAGGAGACATCTCCGACCCTATAAAGTGTATATATTCTTGATCAGGATTGCCTCCTGAGTTGATATGAGCATGCCCGTTTGTCTGTCTGTTTCTACGCAAACTAGTCTCTCAGTTTTAAAGCTATCGACTTGAAACTGTTCACACACCCTTCTTTCCTTTGCACGCAGTATATAAGTCGGAACGGCCCGGATCGGCCGACTATATCCCATAGCTGCCATATAACTAATTGATCGGAAATGGTATAACTTTGGTGTTTTTAGAGTTAGAGAGAGTTAGAGACACAAGAGCTATTTTTTGCAAAATATTATGACGTGCCAAATTTCATAAGGATCGGCCGACTATATCCTATAGCTGCCATATAACTGAACCATCGAAAACAACCCAACTTTCGTGTTTTTAAAGATAGAAAGCTGAAACTTAGTACAGATTCCATTTTTGATTAGTTGATACAACCTACCAAATTTCATTAGAATCGGCCAACAATATCCTATAGCTGCCATATAACTGAACGATCGGAAATGGTTTTTGGTAGAAATACCAACTTTGGTATTGTTAAAGATAGATGTTTGGGACTTGTTTTAAATTTAGTTTTATAATAAATTGGGTTATATTATCATATTCTCATAAGGATCGGCCAACTATATCATATGTTTGCGATATATATCCGGTTTTAACTGCAAGGGTTTATCAACTTCGGCTCCGCCCGAAGTTAGCTTTCCTTTCTTGTTTAAATTATCTTACTAAACTGTTAGAAAAGACACAGATTTCTGTGTTCAGCACTGTGTTCATTATTGAGCAAATGAGCAAAAAAAAATGTTTGTCTATATGTTGACAAAAGTGTTCGACAACTTTTTGCATGTTCATCACTATCGGTTGTATTCAAAGATCTAGTTTAAACCGATAGTTTAAACTAGCAGTTAACAATTTTAGCTGTGATAAATATTTTTTCCACTATCATGATCATTTAATTTTATTAATATCTCAATTACAGGAGATAACATAAAAAACAGGCGACCAAGCTCGCATGCACCCCGATCGCCTGGAACAATTGAAGCCAATGTTGACTCGCGCTTCGCTTCTTCTAGCCCTGGGCTTATATTTAATCATCATTCGAATATAAATAACAATCCATCGTTAAATGCATATAAAATGTCCAATTCCAATTTACAAGTGGAGGTAATCAGTTTATTTTAGATTAAAAATGGCTTTTGAATTAGTATTTTCGTTTCAGCGCCAATCTTCCGGACTTGTCGGATCCGTACAGTTTAATCGGCGTTCAGATAATATTCCCTTAAACCCGAATGGCAATCGCTCTACAACGAACAAGATAGTTCAGAATTTTGATCCAATCTCATCCCTGGCACAGATGTCCCAACAATTAACTAGTTGTGTTTCTGGTGTGGGAAGTCCAGTTGGAACTGGTGGAATAAGCATGATAAGTGGGTCCGGATCAGGAGACTTGAATATGGAGCACGGAATGATATCTAGCTTAGATGCTGCTGCTATAGATGTCATTAATCAAAACAGTTGCCATTCTATTAACCCCATGATGAATTCATTAGGTCAGCGGATGCTAAACCCGAAAATGTGTGCTCCGGGCGTTCCCGGATCGTCCTTTAACGCTAATTCTCCAAACAGTGTAATAAGAGATTTCGGTTCTGGTCCTATATCAGGTTCTGCAATTTCTCCTAATTTTCAAAATGTTTTGCCTCCTGGTGCTCGTTTAATGGGCCGTATGCCTGTCAATTTTGGATCAAACTTTAATCCGAATATACAGGTAAAGGCAAGTACTCCAAACACAATACAGTATATGCCCGTTCGGCCGCAGAATAATTCTAATAATAACAATGGAGTGAGCAATGTGCGAATGCCACCAAGTCTTGAATTTTTGCAGAGATACGCAAATCCCCAAATGACTTCTGTCGGTAATGGCCCACCGACTGTGGACGGTGGTATGTTAGTAGGAACTGGAACAGGTGCCATGATCGTTAGCTCTCCCGGCGACCAGCCAAACAAGATTTCTAATCAAGGTACTGGAAACACCGTAAATTTTTACCAAAATTGTAACCAACTTGCTTTGATGGAAGAAGATGGAAGCCTAACTGGCCATGATGTTGGTATGGGGATTGGTCAACCTTCAATAATAAGAGGTATGCGACCGCATAGTTTGCGACCGCATGCAACGGGTCCCCGTATCCAAAATTCAGTCAACAGGCAAATTCAGTTTTCACATAATGCGGATACTTCAGAATGCGATGGTTCAGCGCTTTTCAATGGTCCTGCTTGTAGTAACACTGGATCAAATATGTTTTCAGCGCCACAACAATCTAATCAGCCCAAGCCTCATCACATAAAGACTGTGACAAGTGGAATATGTCAAAATCAAACAAATGTTGGAGGTCAAATCCCTCCACACGGGCAAGGACAGTTACAGAATTTAATTGGGCCCAGCAACAATAATTTAATGGCGACTACAGGAAATAGTGCCCCGCAAAATGGTTCAAATTTAAACTTTGTTGGACCATCTCCGAGTGATATAAAATATGCACAGCAATACCATAGTTTTCAACAACAACTTTACGCAACAAATACTAGAAGTCAACAACAACAGATCCAGCAGCAAGGAAATATTATGGCAATGTCACCCAACTTGTCACCAAATCCAGCATTCTTTGTAAACAAATAATTTTAATATCTGTAATTTTTTAATACTAAGTCTTTAAGTTATTGCACCCATTTTTGAACATGATTTTTAACAAAATTATCTGAGATTTTTTTGATAAGGCTAAAACAATTTTTGTAAATTCAATTTAAATTGTTAGAAACAAAATGTTTGTTTGCCAATTATAATAAGCTTAAAATAACTTGAAAATATATTCAGAAAATTACATTTGGAAGAATAAAACTATTCCCCAGGAAAATATGTCGATGTTGTAACTCTCTTTAGTTGTAACCCCTAGACAATATTTCCTAAGTAGAACTTCCCTAAGGAAACTCTTGGCAATTTGATTCGAAAAATGTGTTTGCGGTGAATAAAATGTTCAAGGCAAATAAAAGAACATGAAATATGCCAAAAGGAAAAAAGTAGTTGACTTATTGGTTTATTGTCGTTCTTTTAAGACCTCTAGAAGATCAATTAGGCTTGTAATTATTTTAAAAACGAGCAATTTCTAACTCCACCTCAAATTTGGATATCATTTGCCGTCGGCAACAACAATTTTACAACAAAACGATAACTAAAAACTTGTGAAAACCGGAGTTTAGCGGCCTTCAGCTGCTGTTTTTCAAAACATATGCCAAAGGCTATGAATTTGTGAGAAATTCACGTAAAAGTAAAAGGATTTTGATTCTTGTAATTTGGGGTAGGGCGGCCATACGAGTCTCCAGACGTACTATTTTCTTTAAGGGGCTACGCCACCCTGAAATTTTCAAAAAATTTCAATTTTTTTTTTACTTAATTTAAAAGACTATATTCGCGTATTTTAAGACGTCCCCGAAGACAATATCTTGATAATTATAGAAGTTATGTTTATTTGAAGTCGGCACGGCAGGAGGGCACCTAAGACACTTCTGTTTCTTCTTTTGCGTTTTTCTCGAAACCACTTTTTTCAAGACGGTGGGCATGATAACTCAAAAACTGTTCAACCGATTGACTTGAAAATTGATACACATCTTCTTACATAGATTTTCCACAGAGTGACGTAGGATTTTTTCGATCCAATGGATAGAAATTTTTTTATGCAATTTTTAGTACGAAATTTTTTGCCCAAAAAATTGAGTCAATTTTTGAAGTGCTCTCATTTGCGTAATTTTTTTTTTTTCTTAAACTTTTCTTTCTTAAAATTTTTTTCTTTTTTATCATTTTTTAAAAAAAAATGTTGTTAACTTGATTGAGATGAAAATTGACACGTGAATCATGCCCACCATCAAGGAGCACTCCGGAAAAACCGATGATCGCCGACATTCATATCTCCGCCATTTTGCATGGAAAACAAGTTTTTTTTTAGAATTTATAAAGCTTATTAGTTGTATTGAATAGAAATAAAAGTGGAAAAATTCTATCTCAACTAGTTTAGTCACAAGAAATTCCTGAAAAACCGTCCCGTTTCCACGCGGTCAGGGTGGCGTAACCCCTTAAGGGGACCCCCCCCATTCTCGGTTTTAAAAAATCGATATTTTTTTTTAAATTTAATTCGAACTTGTAACTATTCAAGAATGTTCCCTGAAAATTTCAAGTAAAAATTTCAAAAACTCTTAAAGATATAGCCGATTTATGGTGGAAGCCTCAGGCGACGGCGAGAGCCATCTCAAAACTTTAAACGCGTTTTTCTCGAAACAGTGTTTTTACGACTGGCGCATGAGGTTACTCAAAAACTATTAATCCAATCGGTTCCAAATTTTAACACGTTATTCTATACATATATAGCTCTCGTATGAACTAGGATAAATCGAATCGGTGAAGATCTTCTTTACTTTTCAACTCGATTTGTGGCTGAAAAAAATGGAAATTTCGAAAAAAAAATTTCAAAGGTCCACCATTTTGTTAATTTTTGGGCGAAGTTAATAATCCTAGTTCATACGAGAGCCAAACATGTACTTTTTCTAATCCCGTTGAAATTTTTGGATTCAGATGTTCCAGTGAGCGGAAATCACATGCGCCGCCGAAAAGAAGGGATTTTCTTTGATCACAAAAAACAACAACAAAAACAAAACAAAAAAAAATTCTGTGAAATGATTTTCTTCCTTTTTGTGTCTTAATATATGTAAGCACAGTTACAACCCTAAAAAATAATTTATGTTCATTTGCCAGCCCATTGAAAATCGTCAAAATTTAAAATCGAGAATGGGGGGGGTCCCCTTAACATCATTTTAATTTTGAAATTCGATCGTTCTTCATCTCAGCTAAAAAAAAGTAGTTGGAAAAAAAAGTAGTTGAAAAGGAAAAAAAGTAGTTGACTTATTGGTTTATTGTCGTTCTTTTAAGACCTCTAGAAGATCAATTAGGCTTGTAATTACACAGCCACACAAAAAAAAAAAAGTGTCCGGGTTGGGAGATCAGAGTACCTTATCCCCATGTATTTTGGACCGCTGAACACGAATCTGACTGGTCCGTTTTACCCAGTTTCATGAAAATCCAAAAATTGTTCAAAAATTCGTCCGCCATATTGGATCCGCCATATTGAATTTTGAAAATCTGACTTTAAATTCGTAATCAGCGACCCCAAAAACCCCTGGGTACCCAGTTTCATAAAAATCCAATAAATTAAAAATAAAGTCGCATACCTCCAAAAATGTAAAACTTTTTTTGAGGTTAGGAAGAAACGTACACGTGCAGGACCAAAACGGACTTCAGATTCGTGTTCAGCGGTCCAAAATACATGGGGATAGGGTACTCTGATCTCCCAACCCGGACACTTTTTTTTTTTGTGTGGCTGTGTTATTTTTAAAACGAGTAATTTCTGACCCCACCTCAAATTTGGATATAAAATTTTGCCGTCGGCAACAACAATTTTCGTTTTGGTGAACGACCGATAAGTCCGACACCATGAGTTATCGCCTAAGCTGCCATACATTTGAAAAAGCAAGTTAAAAATACTTGTATAATCAAACGAATGGCGATAAATTTGTTGAAATTGGGTAAAATATGTTTTTTAAAAATTAATTAATTTAATTTAATTAGTTTTGTGCTAAAAGTGTATAAAAAAAAATTGTTGAAAACACCGGAATGAAATGAAAACAAGAAAGGAAAGCTAACTTCGGGCGGAGCCGAAGTTGATATACCCTTGCAGTTAAAACCGGATATATATCGCAAACATCGGATTTAGTTGGCCGATCCTTATGAACTTTGGTAGGTTGGATGAACTGACCAAAAATAGAATCTGTATTAAATTCCAGCATTCTATCTTCAAAAACACGAAAGTTGGGTCATTTCCGATCGTTAAGTTATATGACAGCTATAGGATATAGTCGGCCGATCCTTATGAAATTTGGTAGGTTGGATCAACTGACCAAAAATAGAATCTGCATTAAATTCCAGAATTCTATCATCAAAAACACGAAAGTTGGGTCATTTCCGATCGTTCAGTTATATGACAGCTATAGGATATAGTCGGCCGATCCTTATGAAATTTGGCACGTCGTATTGTTTTGCCAAAAATAGCTTTCATGTTAAATTAGAACTTTCTAACTCTAAAAACACCAAAGTTATACCATTTCCGATCAATCAGTTATATGGCAGCTATAGGATATAGTCGACCGATCCCGGTCGTTCCGACTTATATACTGCGTGCAAAGGAAAGAAGGGTGTGTGCAAAGTTTCAAGTCGATAGCTTTAAAACTGAGAGACTAGTTCGCGTAGAAACGGACAGACAGACAGACAGACAGACGGACAGACGGACATGCTCATATCAACTCAGGAGGTGATCCTGATCAAGAATATATATACTTTATAGGGTCGGAGATGGATTGGACAAAATTATAATACCCTCTGCAAGGGTATAATGAAATCCATTGAAAAGGTGGCATTCCCTTAACTTGGTTTTTCTGGCTTTTCTCCTTAATTCTTTTGGCTACAAAAGACGGCTGTTTGTTGCTGACCAAACCTCAAATCACCTGTTTCGGCAGCAAGAAGTTATGAGAAATGAAACGTTTCGATAGCAAAACGATAACTAAAAACTTGTGAAAACCGGAGCACCTAAAAACGAAAATCTCGGTTTTGGTCCCAAAACGAAAACGAAAACCGAAAGTGAAAACCGGAGCATGCCTGATTGTCTAGTTTTGGGTTTGTCCTGCTGGTTTCCACTGCAGAACAATCTGAAAAAATTGAGCACGTTCATCATCATGTTTCAAACATCTTTTGTTCTAGACCAGTGGGCGGCAAACCCCCCAGTAGAACCCCCCGAAGCTTTTTTACTACTTTTTATACCCTTGCAGAGGGTATTATAATTTTGTCTAAAAGTGTGCAACGCAGTGAAGGAGACATCTCCGACCCTATAAAGAATATATATTTTTGATGAGGATCACCTCCTGAGTTGATATAAGCATGTCCGTCTGTCTGTCTGTGTCTACGCGAACTAGTCTCTCAGTTTTAAAGCTATCGACTCGAAACTTTGCACACCCTTCTTTCCTTTGCACGCAGTATATAAGTCGGAACGGCTGGGATCGGCCGACTATATCCTATAGCTTCCATATAACTGATTCATCGGAAATGGTATAACTAGTCTCTCAGTTTTAAAGCTATCGACTCGAAACTTTGCACACCCTTCTTTCCTTTGCACGCAGTATATAAGTCGGAACGGCTGGGATCGGCCGACTATAATATCCTATAGCTTCCATATAACTGATTCATCGGAAATGGTATAACTTTGGTGTTTTTAGAGTTAGAGAGTTCAAATTTGACACTAGCGCTATTTTTGGCAAAACATTACGACATGCCAAATTTGCAGTCTATATCCTATACCTATATCCTATAGACCCAACTTTTGTGTTTTTGAAGATAAAGAGCTGGAATTTGGTACAGATTATATTTTTTGTCAATTAATCCGACCTCCCAAATTTCATAACGATCGGTCGACTATATCTTATAGCTCCCATATACCTGTTATATAATATAACTAGTTCGCTAATAACGGAAATAGTTTTTGGTAGAAATATCAACTGTGGTATTTTTGAAGTATTTCGTTTAGGACTTTTTTTTAGATATTTTATTATAATAAATTGGGTTTTATTATCATATTCTCATATGGATATCCGATGTTTGCGATATATATCCGGTTTCAACTGCAAGGGTATATAAACTTCGGCTCCGCCCGAAGTTAGCTTTCCTTTCTTGTTTTTCAGTTTCTTTGACCAATTTCGGTGGCGAGTCGGAGTGAAAACACACTCCCAACGTTCAGAAACAAATAACGGAACGATAGAAAGGAAGAACATTGTTACAAAGATAATAATGGAACCTGCCCTTGATGCTAACATTCAAGACCTCTTCGATGCCCAGC